TTTACTAAACCTCTCTGAAACGATGACTTCCTAATCGGTCCCAAACATTTTCCAATTGATGGAATCCTATCAATTAGACAGTCGCAAGTTATAGTGAATAGCGGGACTACTAGCTAAAATTGTCCAGCAACTTAATGATAGGACGTAGCGTTGAGATAGAGTTCTCAGCTAGGTATGACTATTTCGGTGTCCCTTAACTGGTTCACTGAGGTGCCAGCTACTTTTATGAGGATTTATAGCGAAGCCCAAAGTCAATTAAAAATGTCTGCTAATGCGGTGTGTCCTCTATTTGGGTTAAACCGTATTTTCCGGCCTATACTTGAAAGCGCTGGGACTACTCGAGGCGTGGATAAAAACTCCGATTTTCCTCCGTTAATAACAGTGGCTCTGCACTGATTGGGGGAAGGATCCACGTTTAGTTCGCTTGTCGCTTCTGTGATGTTGCTCGTACTCGGTTAACTTTCGCTGCCGTGTACTTTATAATCCGGGATGCATATCATTAGCTGCATTTGTTGTTTCATCAAAAGTCACAAACGCTCTGGTACTTCTCATATTTTACATAAGACTTTGAAAACACTTTAAAATTTTAAAATTTTAAAATACCTAATAATACCTAATAAACAAAAGTTGAGTAGAGCAATCTTGGCCTCGAGGAGATGAGAGGGGTCGTATTTTGATGCCACGCAACGTTGGTATGTTTAGAGTACGCTAACGATGTACGATGTACTTTGTGTTCGGATTTCAAACGAAATGAGACTTAGTCGGCCTGGCAGACTAATTTTAAGCCTGGACAAGTTGATCAGCATGCATGAATTTTTGGAGAATAACCTAGTAAACTTCCTGGCCGTTTCAAACGCCTGGCCCGCCTAGCGTCAGTTTCTGTTCATGTAGTGGCTAAGAGACTGGAACCCGTCACATTTGACTTCGCAGTCCAAGATGTGACGTTTATATCAGTACCGCGTAGACATATTTGACGGTTTTCATGTGATATAACCATTGTCTAGGTTCCAGAATGCGCCGGCAGAGTGGCGGTGGAACGGTTACATTCTCTGTTACATTTCTCAAGTTCACATAATAAATTCTGGAATGTGCTTCACTGACAACCGCTTCTTTTGGCGTAACTCCACTCAAAAGCTTTGCGAATCGGGTTATACTTGAACGCCGGGAGGATTTTGAGAATGCGACCAGGGTGGATGATCATTTTAACCCCACCAATGTCGGTGTTTTTATTTTTGCCTACTCAATAATTTAGGCACGCAAATGCAGTTCATTCCATCAAACGTTTATTGTTTTTGCCGTTCTCTTGTGATCATGGAGATACTTTGGAATATCAAAATCGATCTTTCACCCTAAAGGTTAATTCAGCTTATGCCGAATCACCGACCGTGTGTACCTCATGACTAGTCAGGGAGATTGGAACACGTGATCAGTGGTTTATTACTTGAAGTCCAATCGGTGACCAATCGGTATTTTAAAAAGTTAAAGTTAAAAGTTAAAAAGGTAATCGTATTATTAACTCTTCGATTTTCGAATCGAGTTCCCACTGACTCTCGTGGGGTTTGCCGTGCTGATGAATCCCGATAGGGATGAAACGGCCGTGAGTTGCTTCTGGATTGTTTGGCTCATGCACCTGACGGAGTCTCGATTGAGAAAGTATTTTGTCAGGTCATTTTTTCCGCAGGTAATATTCCAGGTCATTTACTGTGCTGGTACCTAATGTAGGGCTCCTGCAGTAACTATGGTATAGTGCTCGCAACGGATGGTTTGTTATCTCAAGCTTTTCTATGGCCTTGTTTAAAGCTGTAAATCAAACAAATTGATCTGGTATCACATCTGACTGAAAAGCATTTGAGCGATTCGTGCCAGTTGGTTCTGTGAAACACTTAGCTGAATCTTAGGCTATTTTTCAATTATTATTGGAGTCGATCGACTGACCGGCCAGTCAAAACTTTCCAGGTAGCGTGACGCACGCTTGAAAAACACTGGGCAACTTTTTGGTTGCAATTTTGGGGTTTGTTTGGACAGGTATTTTGTTCATAGCCACACCACTCTCGTTTGAACGGCCATGTTCCTGTTCTGGCGTAATTATTCCGGTGAGTCCACACCAAAGGGAAGCACTGGACTCGAGTTTCGCTCTTATTAGAGCTCATCAGCCGTGCATATCCAATGGCCGTGCCGGGATTTGAACCCCGGATATGTGACACCCGAAGCGCGCGTGTAACCACTACCCCACCAACGCACGTTGGACGCACCTGAATTATCACATCTGAACAGTTGAATGTGTTCACACTTGAGCGATGTGATTGGTGTGCCCGACTCATCGAACGAGGACCCACTAACTGTCCTGGTTGTGACGATCGATTGACCCACCAGTCAGGACTTCCCAGCCAAGTAGCCTGACTGGTGTGTAACCGCACCGCTGGCCATTTGCCATTAGGAATTTTGAACTAAAGACACTCTTAGGGACTCCGATTTTTTAGGGAGTAATAAACGAGATGACCAAGTCTGGTTGTTTCATGCGTTCCACTTGTTGTCCATCCTGCCCTCAGTTCGGTTGGGCGGGACTGACCAATGGTCGATATCAACCTAGTCAAACAAGGCAGTTGAACCCTAGCAACCTCTTAAGTGAGAGAACCGCTGGTTTTTGGTTGTAAATAGATAACTCCGCCTGCACTTTGCAAACCCAATATCTGCACATTTTCAACTACAAACAGCACACTGTCCGATATCAAGACACGTTTTAGATTTTATATTATACCATCAAGGAGTTCAAAGAGCAATGGGACAAATCTATCATTCACCAAAATATCGACGCCACCGCACTGGAAGCAGGCCTCAAATGAACCAAACCATAGCCCCGATTTGGACTGCTAGAACATAAACTTTCTAAGGCCCCAAGTAGCGTGCTGGTGTGTAACCGCCCCGCTGGCCATTTGCCTTTAGGAATTTTGAACTAAAGACACTCTTAGGGACTCCGATTTTTTAGGGAGTAATAAACGAGATGACCAAGTCTGGTTGTTTCATGCGTTCCACTTGTTGTCCATCCTGCCCTCAGTTCGGTTGGGCGGGACTGACCAATGGTCGATATCAACCTAGTCAAACAAGGCAGTTGAACCCTAGCAACCTCTTAAATGAGAGAACCGCTGGTTTTTGGTTGTAAATAGATAACTCCGCCTGCACTTTGCAAACCCAATATCTGCACATTTTCAACTACAAACAGCACACTGTCCGATATCAAGACACGTTTTAGATTTTATATTATACCATCAAGGAGTTCAAAGAGCAATGGGACAAATCTATCATTCACCAAAATATCGACGCCACCGCACTGGAAGCAGGCCTCAAATGAACCAAACCATAGCCCCGATTTGGACTGCTAGAACATAAACTTTCTAAGGCCCCTCGAGCGAAGCGGTCGTGTTCACAAGGGTTAATGAGTACAACGTTGCACGTTGTGAAATGCAGAGAAAACCGCAGTGACATTATTTCTGTAACTGACCACACTTTTATTTTGTTGGGAATTAAACCATACCTAGAATGTTTTGCTCAAATGATTGACTTTTATCCCCAAAACTGGAGTGACGTCAGACGAGGCATATGACTTTGTTTGGTTCCGTGCTACGACTGATTACAAAGCCGTACTAGAATGAAAAGAATGCCAATTATGTGGTGAATTCGGGTTAACGGTCATACAGACCTGTGCTCCTAAGCCCGTTGAAAACGAATCACCAGAGGGGCCAGTTAACGGTGATTGGAAGGTATTTATTCCAGTGAAAGCAATCTTAACTTTTTATATGCCTTGTTGATGAGTAAGGGCGTAAGAGCTTGGAAAATCCCCGTTCTGTACATGGCAAACCCACTCACGAAGAACCCTACATCTTGGCAGCTAATAATGAACAACCAACACATCATCGACTCAGTGATTTTCGCTTTTCATCTGTTTGTAAAAGGCCAAGTGTACCTGCTGATCGCCAGGTATCATGTCAGGCAGTAAACATTCTTTCTCACTGCGGAAAAAACTGACGCAAACCTAACCCCCCCCCCCGCATATTTGCGAATTTTGTCCACTGCGAATTTCACCTTCAGATGAGGTTCCGGACTTTATCTGCTAATACGCAGTGGTATCATGTTTATTTTCGCCGTGGGAGGGAGCTAGTTAGATTAACTTCATTATGGCTTTTCTGGTATTTAGAGCAGGAAAGAATAATCGAAATGGATTGCAGATAGAACCTCCCGAAAGTTTTAACTTTCCTCCTGGTTATGTAACTTGTAACTTACATTTGATTATTCGTCAAGTTTTCCTTTTTCAAAAGGACTTAGTTAGCCAAAAGTTACGGACGTTTGAAACTCGTATCTTCTAGATAGCCGACGCAGCGCTTACGACTGGTTTTTTTTGTTGTAATATCCACGCACAAAACCATGTGAAATTCTCGACGTGATCTGTCTTTAGCTGTCAAACACTCAAGTTACCAGGGACACAAAAAATGAATCCCAAAATATTTCCATGAGAACTGACATTCGATTTAACAGTAGATACTGCAACTCAGAGCGCGCTGTGTGGTCAGCCTTACGGTATGGATATCCTCTGGATCGAAATGATTGAGTGACTACGGCCGTGGAAGTTTCCGTGGTTTAAAACAACCAGACTTGTGCAACACGGCAATTTCACAGCCCCCGGGACGTTTGGCAGTTAGACACCGGAAAGTAGGTACAGCTGAAACATTACCAGTTACTTCTACATATAGCCTGGGATTTTTTAGTCATTACAAACAAACAAAAGGCAGTGGTGGTAGCATTCAATTTCTGTCTGCAAAGTTCATTGATTGACTTCACACCAGACAATTGACACGTGAGGTCCGAAAATGGACACCTCACTCACTCCCGCATTCTGTTTTAGTCCTCTAAGTCCAGGTGACTATCAAGATATCAGTAGTTTATTGTCTACAGTTTGACCTTTTGAATGTAACGTGATCAACCCCATTTTTGTTCCATCTTCTCAGCGGAATCCCCTTCTTCCGACAAAAACCGACACCATCCGCCCAGTACAAAGCTGTCCAGATGAAGGAACTCAAACGAATGATACGGGCTGGTAAGCCGAGCTACGAACAGATTCACAGTTGGCGAAATTCATTCGAGACACTTTTGAATGATCGCTGTGAGTGTGTGCAAGTATTTTTGATTATTTAAACACCACAAGCTAAATGCTGCAATGTGCAGACCAATAAGGATGAATGCCGAAATTTCCCATGGGTCATAAAAAAACAGTGACGCCGATATAGTTTTGATTTTTAAACACCACAAGCTAAATGCTGCAATGTGCAGACCAATAAGGATGAATGCCGAAATTTCCCATGGGTCATAAAAAAAAAGTGACGCCGATATTTTGACTGTTCACGCATTCGACGTGGTAGACGAAACGCTTAGTTGAACTTCAAAAAGTTCCAGTCAACGGTTGTTGTCTAACGCCACGTTTTTTGTCAAGTAAGGCGTCGAAATCTCGAAATAAATTATTGTAAGGCAACAGGGTGCACAAGTCTACTGAAATGACATTTAAAACAAGTATATATATATATATATATATATATATATATATAAAATGTTGGCTTGTCAGCACCAAATCATCAGTAGCTAGTGAAAAGAAATAGTTATGCCATCTACTGAGAAGTTGACTACTGGTCATTGAAAAGAGAACGGTGACCAATGTCCTCTGTTTGAACATACTTATCACACTCTAACCGGACGAATCTGTTGAAGTTTACGCTTTCAGGTACCATGTGCGTTTTCGAAACGCATAAGTGCAAAATCCTCAAAGCACTGTTTTAACGAACAAGCCAATTCGCTACACCAAATTTGATCGCAAAAGAGATAATCTGACGAGTTCGTTAAATGGCTGCATAAATTTATGGAAATATTTCCTAGACTATAAAATACTCCATTTTAAAGGCGATTGGTCAGCTGCTTGAAAATCCAAAAGTGTTAGAGCTAAAATGGACGTACACTGCTGTGGTTACCCCAGTTCTAAATCGTACTCAAGGGTTACCTCTATATTCAGTTAAGAGACGGTCATTTATGGCAGTATATCCCATGTAACTGCGTGATGACAAACACGATAGATGATACACAACCGCTGAAGAAAGAGGCACGCCCCAAATGGGTCCAAAAGCGCTGCATGATCCCAAACCATCACAGTCAACAGCTGACAAACTCGGGGACTGCGCCTACCTGATGAGCCCCAACAAGAGGAAACCAGTCGTGGGCTGTTGAAATTTTCAGCAACCCTGTGAGTAGTTTCCCTCATGAAAATGTACTGCGATAGCTCGAACATCATGCCAACTGAAACATGAGGCAGCCTGTGTGCAAAACATTCAGTTGTGGAATATCATAAGCGAGAGATTCAATTGAGTCTCTTGTGAAAACCAAATTGATTTGCAAATTAGTGTATCTCTCAAAAACGGTCCAACCTGGGTTGAAGCAGAACATAAATTTGACGGA